TAATTTTGAATTTTTTAGTCCAAATGGCAAGCCTAGGCCTAAGCGTAAGCCTAAGCCTAGGCGTAAGCCTAAGCCTAAGCCTAAGCCTAAGCCTAAGCCTAAGCCTAAGCCTAAGCCTAAGCCTAAGCCTAAGCCTAAGCCTAAGCCTAAGCCTAAGCTGTTCCTCCACCGTTTTCAAGGTAAGCAACTAAACTTTGAGCCCTCGTGCAACTCCTTCATCTCCCTACACCTTCAACGGCCGCTCCGGTCCATTCCACAAATACCAAAAAATGATCGCAGACCCAAAAATGACAGACCCAAAAATGATTGAAATGTATCCCCCTCAATTCCTCTAAATGTCCCGTGCCTCCGCCAGCGCGCCGCCAAAATGCAATTTGTGTTGTGTGTTGGACCGGGACTTGCCGCGATTTCTTTCATTCTGGCCCCCGGCGTGCCATCGCCCATTCATTCCGCCTCTTTACCTCTTTACGTCGTCTTTAGACCCGTGAGTTGGGCACTAGACAGAAAAAAACCCTTGCTCGGCATGGCTGGAAAATATGGCATCTTTTGGGCTTATGGAATCTGAGAGAGCGAGGGGAGAGAGAGAGGGAGAGAGAGAGAGAGAAAGCGAGAGAGAGAAAGAGAGATAGAAAAAGAGAGAGAGAGCGAGAGAGACGGAGAGAGCGAGAACGAGAGAGAGTGAGGGAGAGAGAAAAAGAGAGAGATGGAGAGAGAGCGAGAGAGATAGAGAAAGCGAGAGAGAGTGAGGGAGAGAGGAAGAGATAGAGGGAGAGGGAGAGATAGAGGGAGAGAGAGCGAGAGAGATAAAAATTAGAGAATTGGATAGAAGGTAGAAGACACATTCGTGGTCTAAATTTTCCCGCTGCTAAAAAAACCATGAACTTAAAAATTCCCGAGATATAAATGTTTAAAGCTCCCATTAATGCTTGGATCGATACACTGAAAAAGAGCAAGGTGGGCAAGCTAGCAGAGATCCTTTCGGAAAGACGTTAGCACACTGTAAATATCAATTGGTTTTAATTTTAATGCGTATTCTTCTAATTATCCCCCCAGGACCCCTCAAATTCTACATTGCACTTTCACAACCAAAACAAGCCACGCTTTTTTGTACATTTTTTGGGCCATAATCGAGAGCCCCGCCTGACAGCCCCTAATTTGAATTCTCTCCTATTTTGTGCTCCCGATTTCTCGGGTTTATCAAAATAATTAGTGACACACCTCCATTTTCGGCCGCCCAGAATGGTCCATATTTTGGTGGTCCCCTTAATCGCGCTAATGAACCGTCCCGTGGGGACCACCCACGAAGAGCGATTCGGATTCAAATCAACCCCACAAAAATTAATTCTTATTTTGCGCCCACGCGCCCGTGACCGCCTCTCCCCGAGCCACGCTACGGTATCAAAATTGGCGGCGCGGCTTGAGTCAGAATCCCCCCGGCCGATCGGCCTCACCCAAAACACCCATTTCCGGCCACAGGAACGCACGGGAAAATTATCCCCGCTGCTCGATAACCATTTCTACGAGAAGCTCGGCTAATTACCCGGAAAAACTCTCGAAAAAGCCGTCTAAAATGAGCAATTTCCGGTGGGGGTATTGACACGCAAAATTGGCTACAATTCTGGCTGCCAGCCCAAACGCGCTGCCTTTTTTTGGTTCATGGATTCGAGCCAAGACGGTCCGGAACGTTCCTAATTCCGTGTCTTGTACGCCTACGTATACTACGTACTCTGTATTTTTCGTACGTATTACAAAGAATTTCTACTTATTCCGACAGCCTATATTCCGTGACGTACGGACGTAGCGCTGCGTACTTGGTTGCCTATATTTTCAGCCTTACTCGACTACTGTATTTTTGTTACCGACTATCGTACTTCAGGAATTCGTTGTCGTGCGTACGTAGTGCTACGGAATATAGCTTAAAATAAAACGGAATTTTCCGTACGCACATAGCCTTGCGTACTCGGTTGCCTATATTTTTCTACACTTCTGGATTCCTGGGCATTTTTATTCCACTCTACCGTACTTCCGTAATTCCAACCCGTACGTACCTATGCTACGTATCCCGACTGCCTATTGCATACTGAAATTATTCGTACGGACGTAGCGCTGCGTACTCGGGGACCTATAGTTTTTGAAGGCACTGCAAGTCGATCGTATTTGATACCAGCTAAAGTACCCCGGATCACGATGATTTGGAGCGCGCCGGACACAAGTCGCGGCCGTGGCCACCCGGCTTTCCAGTCCCTCCGCCGGCCCGTCGGCCTTGACGTCTCCGAGCTGTGCGTCAAGCTCAAGCAGGTGCATTTATAGGCAGTCGCTCTCTCTCTCTCTCTCTCTCTCTCTCTGTCGCCTTCGTCTGGGCAAAAATTATTGATCCTAAAAACTAGCCCTCGGTCTTTTAGGTTTTTTAAAAGAGATTAACAAGGCTGGATCATGACTTTCTTCTCTCCCTTTAATGGATTCCACCAAAAATTATTAGATAAACCTGATTTTCTTAATGAAATGACCATTAATTTCATCCCATTAGTGCGCCATCCACAAATGCCGAATCGTCCAGTCAACACAGCCAACAAAATCAAATTCCTCTCAAACAATTGGATTTTTCCGCCCAATACGAGGAATTGTCTATTTTCGCGATACCAAGAAGCTAATCGGGTCCGCTTCACCGGCCCGTAAATTGGTCATTTCCGTGGCGGAAAAACCCTGGCTTTCGGTACCGCACTGCGTATCATTTCTAGGGTTTCTTGGTAGGAGATAGGCGTTTCTGGGTGCCGAGAGTCAAAATACCGACAAAGAAAATGTCGCAATCAAAAAACCGGCGCATTAGATTGAAATTTCCGTTGTGTCGGTATTTCGACTTCCCGCCATTTACACCGCCGGTATTTTCGTTGCTTCGGAGATGATTTAGGTTGTCGGTATTCTAGCTGGCGGAATTTTTAAGGTTGGGGTTTCAAATTCTCGATATTTTGGCTGTCGGCATATTAGGTGTCGGAAGCTTCAAATAGGTGGCTAGACTGTCGTTATTTCAACTGTCGGCATTTTGACTACACGTTTTCGAGATTTCGGGATCTTCTCTCCTTTGGTCTTTGCTATCGGTATTTGCGCTGTTGGCTCGGCGATCGGAATTCTGGTTGTCGTAATTTTAAATGTCCGAACCTTTGGCGCGTCAGCATTTTAGATGTCGGCATTTTGACCGGAAATCGATTGGACAATCCGCACGATCTACAAATTCCATCGTTTTTTCTGTCCAAATTTAGCATCCCAAAACCCTGTCGAAAGTCTTCGCGGTTGCTTATATTTTGCTGCTCGCATCCATCCCGATATTTTGCCAATACTTTCACTTCCCCCTCCCATAGACTTTCTTGTTTTCGGCATTCCCATCTTGGGGCAGCGTGGGGGCCGAGACCCGCATCTCGACGTGACACCACCCCACTATTCATTCGAATATAATATAATTTTCCTGATTTTTTGACAATTCGTAATCCGGAAGTATTCAGTCAGAGATTCTAGATATGACGAATTAGCCTTTTAATTGAAGCTCTTTATCCATGCCTTTCTCTCTCACTCTCTATCACTCTCTCTCTCTCTGGCTCTCTTTCTCTCTTTCTCTCTCTGCCTCTCTCACCTTCTCTCTTTATCCCTCTGGCACTCGCAACTTGTCGCTCTCTCGCTCGCTACCGCGCACTCGCGCTCTCACTCTCTCACTAGCTCTCTCTCTCTCTCTCGCTTTCTCGCACTCTCCGTCTCCCGTTATCCCTCTCTGTCTCGCTCCCCCACTCTGTCTCTCTATCTTGCTATCGCTCTCTATCTAGCTATCTCTCTCCATCTTTCTCTATTTCGCTCTCGCTCTTGCCCTCTCTCTCTCTCTCTCTCTCTCTCTCTCTCTCTCTCTGTCTCTCTCTCTCTCTGTCTCGCTCTCTTCTCCGCTTTACCTCACTCTTTCTATCTATCTATCTATCTATCTATCTATCTATCGATCTGCATTGCATACCTCAAGCGCAGGTAAACTTCCGGCTCTCAACTTCCTGTAAAGTACACTCACCTAAAAACCCAATCAGCTGCGATCATCAAATCATTGGCCAATTGATCCGAAGCCCACGAGTCACTAGCCCAACACCTGACTGTTTGTGCCCCAGGGCTACTTTGTTTTTGGTGGTGTCCCCCCACACACCTTGCCGAGAAATGACGGCGAATTTCATTTCATTCCACCTGCCTCTACTCGCCACCCCGAGGTGGCCGGCCATTTACGGCCAAACATCTAATCACCGCCCCGAAGCTTGGCGGCTCAACAATTTTTGCTACGACTAGTATAACAGCCGATAATAGCCACCTACCACATTCAGTTTTTGGGGTGGGAGGAGGTGAATAAAATTTTCTGCTCGGCTACTACATATTTATTTACATCAGTTTATGATCGAATGTGCGGGATGCTTAGGCTTAGGCATCATCTGAGCGTGGTTTGAGCTTAGCTTGGGCTTGGCTTAGGCTTCGCATAGGCTCCGCGTAGGCTTTCCTCACGTGTCGTTTCGGCTTCGCTTGAGCTCCGCCTGGGCTTCGCTTAAACTTAGCGTAAGTCTAGCTTTGGCCTGGCTTTGGTTTGCTTCGCGTAGGCTTCGCGTAGGCTTCGCGTAGGCTTCGCTAAAGTTTGGCTTGGGTAGCTTCGTAAGCTTCGCTCGGACTTTGTTTTTACTTTGTGTAGGCTTCGCGTAGGCTTAACGTAGGCTTTACTAGGGCTGGCTTAGGCTTCATGGCAGCTTAGCTTCAGGCTTACTGTAAAAGCTTGGCTTGGGTTGGTGGTTATGACGGAGTGAATGACAAAATTTCCGAAATATGGTTTTTGCGAATATTCCTGGGGTTTTACGTCTAAGCGTTATCTCTCCTATGACTCTTTAAGCACACAAAGCGCTCTATATTGGCCTTAAAATCGAGTTTCCAAATTTTAGGTTTTAATACGTTTCTGATTATACGGATTTGACCGACCTTACACTCAATATTTTCAGATGGCCGAAAACGGGGATGCAGCCCCGCCGGCCGGCCGAGGACGAGCCGATACGGTCTCAAAGATGAAGACTGCCGGACTGCCACCGGATCAATATCAGAAGAAGCGATTCTCGGTGCCGGCCAAGTTGGCACCTGTCGCGAAAGCCAGTAGGACTTTTTAGTGATCTACAGTAACGCATTTTAACAAGCTATTAAGAGAGCGCGAGAGAAAGAGAGCGAGAGAGAGAGAGCGATAGAAAGCGTTAGATAGAGAAAGAGTTCCAGAGAGCGAGAGAGGCGAGAGAAAGAAAGAGTTAGAGGGAGAGAGAGAAAGCGAGAGAGACATAAGGCGAGAGAAAGAGAGAGAGAGAGAGAGAGAGAGAGAGAGAGAGAGAGAGAGAGAGCGGGAGAGAGAAAGGGAGCGAGAGAGAGAAATAGAGAGCGGGAGAGAGATAGAGAAAGCGAGAGAGTGAGTGAAAGAAAGAGAGAGATAGAGAGAGAGCGACAAGAGAGGGGCGAGATATTCAATAAATGTATCCACCCCTCCTCCCTAGATGGTGAACGTCGAGTGACCCTCGTGCGCCCGTGCGAGTCGTTCCGCGAGGGCAAAGAAAAACACGCGATCCAATTTGGTTATGCCGCGCTGAACGCCGGAATTCAACGAGACCGATCCCAGTCGGTTTTTCGAGATCCTTTCTACCTGTCGCAATAAATTTAAGTAATTTTGGTCCTATAATATTATTTTAGCGTGTTCCCAAGACCCGGGCTGCTCGGTGTTTACGATATTCAACGGGGAAGAGCATAAGCATACAGTATGCCAGCAGCCGGTTGGGCAACAGGTTGGTTTGTGATTCTGAGACCTTGTTCTGAGCCATATCGTAAATATCGCTTCTAGCTCTACACAATGGTCTCTGCTAGCTCTCCTCAATGGTCTTTGCTAGCTCTCCTCAATGGTCTTTGCTAGCTCTCCTCAATGGTCTCTGCTAGCTCTCCTCAATGGTCTCTGCTAGCTTTCCTCAACGATCTCTGCTAACTCTCCTCAATGGTCTCTGCTAGCTTTCCTCAACGATCTCTGCTAACTCTCCTCAATGGTCTTTGCTAGCTCTCCTCAATGGTCTCTGCTAGCTCTCCTCAATGGTCTCTGCTAGCTCTCCTCAATGGTCTCTGCTAGCTCTCCTCAATGGTCTCTGCTAAGCTCTCCTCAATGGTCTCTGCTAGCTCTCCTCAATGGTCTCTGCTAACTCTCCTCAATGGTCTTTGCTAGCTCTCCTCAATGGTCTCTGCTAGCTTTCCTCAACGATCTCTGCTAACTCTCCTCAATGGTCTTTGCTAGCTCTCCTCAATGGTCTCTGCTAGCTTTCCTCAACGATCTCTGCTAACTCTCCTCAATGGTCTTTGCTAGCTCTCCTCAATGGTCTCTGCTAGCTCTCCTCAATGGTCTCTGCTAGCTCTCCTCAATGGTCTCCTGCTAGCTCTCCTCAATGGTCTCTGCTAGCTTTCCTCAACGATCTCTGCTAACTCTCCTCAATGGTCTCTGCTAGGTCTCCTCAATGCATCTGCTACCTTTCCTCAATGATCTCTGCTAGCTCTCCCCAATGATCTCTGCTAGCTCTCCCCAATGATCTTTGCTAGCTCTCCTCAATGGTCTCTGCTAGCTCTCCTCAATAGTCTCTGCTAGCGTTCCCCAGAAATCCCTGCTGGCTCGCCCTGGATTAGCTCTAATTCCAGGCCGACCTGTTCATCTCCACCCTCTCCGAGAAGAGCAAGACGCAGCTGAAAAAGTTTTTTGGACAACGCCCGCGGCAGGACAACGAGTATTTTGTATGGGTTCGAGATACGAGCAGTCAAGTGGTAAGTTTTTCTTAAAAAGAGCCTGTCAAAGAAATTTTTCTGACGGTATTTTGGATCTTTAGTGGACTTACAATTTACAACATTTCCAGGTAACCGTGCTGTCGATTAAGACCCTGGAAAATCATCTCAAAACGAAGGGCGGCATCAGGCGCGTAAAATGGAGGCATTTGTCGACGGAACGGTAAGTTGAAGGCAATTTGAATATATTTCGTTGTATTTACTTTCTTACATTAAAATTGTATTAAATAGATGGCAAATCAATCAATTTCCAGACTTTCCATCTACCGCTATTCCCTGCCGGCCATCACGGGCAAGGGCGCCCGTGTACGGGAGTGTCTCGTGGGCCATAGGAAAATATGTCTTTTGATAGGTGGGTTTTAGTAAATAAACCGGTGCTTTTGCATTACCGGGGGGACAATTTAATTTAGCAAGAATTAAAAGTGTTTAGTCAAATTTAATGATATTTTGCGTCGAAAATACTCAAAAAGCAAAAACCGCCTTGCGTGAAAAATAGATATTTTTGTCTTTTTAATCAAAATTTGTAATTTAGCAGTAAAAAAGTTTAGAACAACTTGTTCTATTTATCCTAGTAATATTGGGTCCGTAGAAAAGGTTGCCCCCGATAATGCTAAAGAGCCGAAAAATCTCGGCCGGATGGGCAATGAGCCAATCTTAAGCTTTTAAAATACAAACTAGCATATTAAAAAAGCTTAAAAATTTATTTATGAAATAAAAGCATTTTTAGTGTGGCTCCTGTTCGTGCTCCTCATCTGCGTGACCGTCATCATCGGCTCGTCCACGTCCAACGACCAAATGCACATCAACGCCACCAATTTTGCCCACCAGCATTTGACATAATCATCGCGAAGGTTCTATATGTATATTTTGAGCTTTGTAATGATTTATAGCCTATTTTCAACAATATGTAAATTATTTTCGCTTTAATTGAATACAATATCCCATCCCCCAGCACTGGTACATGCGAAATTGATTTTTACGGTTTTTTGTGTGACCTAATTTTTCGAATTTTCTGATGAGTTTCGCCATTGTTGCATTTAATTTTGTCAACATTTGCATCGATATTTGTGGAATAATTTGATTTCTGGATTGTATATGCACGAATAAAAAGGTAATTTGGAAAAAATTATGACTTTGGCTGGAAAATGCCATAAAAACCAAAAATTCGCATAAATCGTGAACCGCAACGGTTAAAAATTTGAAAGAAAATTAAATACTTGATCTTCCAAAGAACGTCCCCTTCAGCGACGTCAGCAAAGAGTTTGCATTTTTAATTGCTTTCCCTGCTTCTTTCCCCAGGCCGAACACCAGATAGCTCGAGGCTATAATCGAAAAACGAATTCCCCTGATCGTCTGCCCGCTTCTCAGCGCTTTATCGATTGATTTTCCTGGATTTAACATTATTATTGATGCGCTTTAACTGAAATTACTTAACAGATCTTAACTATTTTTTACGTATGTCTGTGGAACTCACTAGAGTCTAAAAAGTCCTCCCCCAAACAGAGGACAAACAATTCCCTGCTGTGCTTCTTTTTCTTCTCTCGCCCCTAGCCAAGCGGATTCGTAACATAAACATTGAAGTTTTTGTCTGGACCTCCGGCACGTAGCCCCGCAACTCTTTACGTTGGAAAATACCCCAAGACGCCAAGAATCTCTGCTAGCTTGCCTCGGCATCTCACGCGCTCTCTCTCTCTCTCTGTCTCTCGCTCTCTTTCTCTCTCTCGCTCTCTCTCTCCCTCTCTCTCTCTCGATCATTCAATCTGCCTCGTTGACCCGCTCTCTCACTTACTCTCTCTCTCTCGCTCTCTCTCTCCCTCTCTCGTTCCCCCTATCTCGCTCTCTCTCTCCCTCTCTCTCTCTCTCTCTCTCTCTCTCTCTCTCTCTCTCTCTCTCTCTGTCTCTCTATGTCTCTCCCACTCTTCCTCTCTCTCTCTCTAAACTCCCTAAAATAGCTTTGGGTGTGATTGATTCCATTCAAGTTTTTCATGGAGTTTAGAAGATTGTTGCCGAGTTCTCGATGCCATTCCCTGGCTAATCTCGTCGGCGTCGACGTCGACACATTAATGGGCGGCCGCCCGTGCTACCGTACCCAGCTGCTCATTTGTAATTTTACAACCTAAACCCATTCGAAACAATTTTCAGATTTGTTCTTGGCCCTCATTATTCTTCATCTCTATCTTCGGCAAGACACTTGTGAAAATCAACTGCAAAAAAGTGTTCTGTAAGATAAATACCGTCAGATAGTGGGATGTTTTCGTTTTAGGAGCCTTCCGCTCTTCGAAACGACGTCAGAGGATTTTCGGTACCCTCAACGTCGGTAAAAACCATCGAAGAAACACCATTTTCTATAAAATTCAAGAACGCTAATTTCAAATCGACCTACCGTATCCTGCCGGAGGCACGTTCATGATTTTAAGACTCACATAATGAGACCATTAGAGAGAGAGAGAGAGAGAGACAGAGAGAGGGAGAGAGAGAGAGAGAAAAGTTGTATACTTTAATTTATCTCAGCCGACCAACTGTTCATCAGCCCTCCTCCTCGCCGTCGTCCTCTCCCAGGCGAAACATTACAAAATCCGTGAGGCCATCAGGGAGACGTGGGGAAGAGTGGAAACGAAAATGGTATGCTGAATTTTATTATTGTTTTTATGATTATTATTATTACTATCTAGTTAATTTTAGGAACCCAATCTCAAGGTCTTGTTCATAATCGGTCGCGGGCGCCCCGAGGAAAATATGCTAATTTACGAGGAGGCCGAGGAATATGGGGATATTCTATTAATATCTTCGCCCGATACCTATCGCAATTTGGTGCATAAGGTAAGGTCAGAAGATTTATTTTCAAAGCAGTGTCCGGTTCTACCTCTGTTTCTCTCTCTCTCTCTCTCCCTCTCTCTCTCTCTCTCTCTCTCTCTCTCTCTCTCTCTTCTGAAGGTATGGTTCACTTTTTTAGTCCCTCGCCCTCTTCTACTATCATCAGACGTACTGCCCAACCAGATACTTGCTGAAGGTAGTTCTCCGGAAACGCAGAATTTTTGGATTCCAGATTGACGACGACGTCCTCTTCGATTTCAGCAGATTTTTCCACTTCCAAGCAAAGGCAAAATCTCCGAAAATCCGCCGGCCATTTTCGGCAAGCTCTGGCGGAGGTCGAAGCCCTTTCGAAACCCGGAAACATCGATGGTAATTTTTTTATCGATTATTAAGTGGCTTTTGCGTCGTAAAGTAAATGTTGTGATGTCTTTAGCGTCATTTAAGGTATATCTCGCCTCGACATTTTGATCACAAGTTCTTGCCGCCATTCTGCGGCGGGCCCTCTTATATTCTAACCCGAGGAGCCGTTGCTCAACTGCTGAATTCGACGCGAAACGTGCCTTTTATTTATAATGTGAGCTGAAGGATTTTTCTAAAGGGGTTGGAAAGCCCGAGAATCGACCTCTAGTCGGCTAGGTTTGGTCATATTCGCGACAAGCTAAAAGTTTCTATAAGAGCTATATGTTTTCCTATTGCCACGTGTATTTTGAGGTCGATCCTGATGTTGCTATTCCTTTAAAGCAGAGCTCCTCTAGGTAGAAGACGTCTTGCTCACCGGTATTCTAGCTGAAGCAGCCGGAGTCAAACGCATCGATATGCCACGTTCGGTACACCCGAATGATCGGCTTCTAAAGGTATAGAGAAAGAACTTGATCTGTTGCTCTCTCCCTCTCTCTCCCTCTCTCTTTCTCTCTCTCTCGCTCTCTCTCTCTCTCTCTCTCTAATTACCAGTTTTTAAGCCAAACCCATACGGGATAAAATGTGACATGGACGGGGTACCGTACCTGTTCGCTGTTCATGGCCGGAAAACGCCTGCTACGGTAGGTCTGGGAAGAGAGCGAGAGACAGAGAGATAGAGAGGAAGGGAGAGAGAAAGCGAGAGAGCGGAGAGAGAGAGAGAGGGAGAGGGTGTGAAAGTGAGCGAGAGAGCGAGCGAGAGAGGAGCGAGAGATGGAGGGAGCTTGTTTCTTTTGAAAATGCCGCAACAAATGACTTCAAATCAATAACTGAATTTTTTCAGATACGCACTGGTTGGGAGAAACTCTCTAGCTTAAATTGCACCTACAAATATCCGTAAAAAGGTGTCTAAATACCTGTTGTATGTCTTTCTTTTTTTGGAATTGTACGAGATGTTTTAAGCATTGTATCGTATCGTATCGTAATTATTGTGTTTTGTAGTTTGCGGCGTGAAGCGCTCAAAAATAGACACAAGACATTTTATCAACCGATGAAAAATTCGATCAAAAACACGATGGGCACACCGAGGGGGTACTGTTTTTCTCACAAGTGTTTTTCAGCAGGGTACTGTAAAGTAACACAGTTAATTGGGTATTTTGCACAAATCGGCTACAGTAGACCATGTAAATCGGGGCTGTAAAAAATCGTAAACAAAAAAATAATAATCAAGTTTGAGAAGTCGGGGACCCGTTACCTAAGCTAGAAAAAGGTAATGTAAATAAATTGGAGCTGCTGGTAGGTATCGAAAAGTGGGCGGGGCTTAAAGGGGTTGGGAAACGGGGTCTTTAAGGGTTGGTGACAGTGGAATTTGGTTTCAGGGACTGGAAGTCAGAAAATCAGAGGTATCTATGGATTTTCGACTTGCTGGTCCCTTTAAAATTCTCCAGAGAGTTTAAAGGGACCGCAAGATCAAATTCTGACTTTACAACATCTCTAAAACCACCAAAAATTATGTCACCAGCCCTTAAAATCCCCAACTTTGGGTACGGTGATCAGTTAGGGGTAGTAAAATACTGGAGAGATTATTGCCCAAGGGTACGGTAGAAAGTATCGTTTAGACCTTACAGTCAGCCAAAAAATAAGAGGGAGGAGATCTATCAATTCGGGAGCGTTTCCGTAGCATTCCGGAATTCCGTTTTAGTCCGAAATTATGTATCTTACCGGAATTCCGTATCAATCCGGAATTCCGTCATTATAAGAAGTTCCGTAACATTCCGGAATTCCGCAGCATTTGTAATTCCGTAGCTTTCCGGAATTTCGTAGCATTCCGGAAACGCGATGAGGACGTGGGGAAAGAGGAGGTATACACATGTGGAATTGAGGGGGGTAGGGCTACCGGAAATTTGCATAAATATTGTACACGCGGAAATTCAGGGCTTCTTATGCACGGCACGCGACACACACATACAGACGGCATGTTTTTGGGGGTGTAGCTGGTCGAGGAGAGCATCTACCGCAATCTGCAGCTGATCATTGCCGGCGGAACAGGGTGCGGGCGTGCTGAAATTGGGAACTAAGATTATGTAACTTTATAAATATTTTATTTTTGTCAATTTTTGGAATTATCCTTCGAAAACCAAGAAAAAAATTAATTTTTGAAGTTTTAGACCGCAAACTCAACTTTGCTTTGAAAAATAGTATTAAAAAGTATTTTTCTTAATTTGAAAATAAATATTCAAATTTTAATGCAGAAATTCAAGGCCTCAAAAAATTGCTCACCTCATTCTGGCCGTTCCACGCATTCAAATGGCCCAAATTCTGTGGGACAGTTGGGGCCCCATTCGGCTTCACCTCGCCGCGGCGTTGGCGGCAAGTTCGGGCGGCGACCTTGTTCTTGCCGCGGCGGCGGATCTTGCGGATCAGGTTCTTTTGTTCTTCGGACAGGTCCTCGCATCTGAGCATTTTCTGGAGCTCGGGGAGGGACATGTCGGAGATGGCGGCGGCGGTGGCGGGGAGTCGATAGGCCATGGCGAGCTGCTCGTCTTTGCTCTGGCGGCCACGACGGCGGGGGAGGACGGAGCAGACGACCGGGACACGGGCCTTGTCGTAGAGGTGGTATTTGTCGTGTTGGGACTCGATTGGTTGGGGGAGGAGTTTGCCGTAGAAGCGGCTCTGGCTGGGGGAGTGGTTCTCCGCTTCGCTGCTGTAGCGGGGGGAGGCTGAGGAGGAGGAGGGATTCGATGGAGGATTCACTGAAATGGAGGAGGATGAATTTGAAGGTATGTCTCTCTAGTTCTCGCTCTCTCTCTCGCTCTCTCTCACTCGCTCCTGCTCACTCCTCTGATCACTCTTTCTGCTCTCTCTTTATCTTTCTTTCTGCCTCTCTCCCTCCTCACTCTCTCTCTCACTCTCTCTCTCCCTCTCTCTCTCTCTCTCCACAAAAACTCACTTGCTGATCGAAGCCGACCTCCGCCCAAAGCTGTCGTACAATCCACCGTTCAGGTTTGCATACGGAACTTGGAGGTTCTATAAAAATCAAAATAACCTCAGGGAAACAAAGATATTGATTTTATTTATTACAGTGTTGAAAAGCCGCTTCGCGACTTTTCAACCTAACCCAAATCTCGGACCCCATACTATTCTGCCTTTGCATAATTATCACTCCATTAGAGGAGACAAAAAAATGAAAAACAATCCTTGCTGCCTCTTTATATATGACGACGGCACTTCCGGTGCTGCTAATTATTCTAACAAATAGATTTTTTACAAAACCCTAAATTTAATATGAAAATGGCTGAATTTTTAAAAATCTGATATGTGTGCGATGTCCCTAGACCATTACGCACCCTAATGACGTATCATACGTAGCCTAATACCCGTCCTTCTTGAGATATCCTCCGGACAGACAGACGGAAGTGGATGCAAGTGGCACACACACACGAACACACACGAACACTATTTTTTATATATGGTAATTTTTTAATTAAACACCTACCGCTAACCACCGGCGGCTGCACGGTTCGTCGAATAGTTGACGGCGCCGATCTCGGGCCAAGACGGGCTCATTGTGGCACATCTGCTGGACGGCCATCGTCAGGTTGTTCAACCCCTCGGTTCGGAGATATCCGGGAAGGGTCCTCGGTGTGGTTGTGCCAGAAGTGGGAGCTGTTATAGGCGGCCGAGGGGATGGCGGAGGCTCCGACGAGTGCGGGCGGGCATGGCAGCTCGCAGGAGAAGTCCCTTGGCCTTGGCATCACGTCGGTCACTGGAAGGTGGAAGGTATAGAGAGCGGGAGAGAGAGCTAGAGAGCGTCAGGAGAGAGAGAGACAGGGAGAGAAAGATACAGCGAGGGTGGAGAGAGGGAGGAGAAATAGAGCGAGAAAGCGCAGAGAGAGCGAAAGAGAGCTGAGAGGTTGAGCGAGGAGAGATACAAAGAGGGAGCGAGAGACAGCGGGAGACAGCGAGAGATCAGGAGCGAGACAGAAATCACGAGCGCGAGCTTGGGAGAGAGCGCTGGGGAGAGACCGAAAGAGGAGCGAGCATGTGCGCGGAGCTGAGAGAGTCGAGAGAGAGAGAGAGAGAGAGAGAGAAAGCAGGATAAAGCGAGAGGTCACGAGAACCCGGAGGTAGCGGAGAGAAAGATCTTGAGAGAGCGCGAGTGAGTGCGGGAGATAAAGCGTGAAAAATTTACTCTAAAACCTACAGTTAGCCTGCGTGAGTGGCACTCCAAGTGATACGTTGCATAACTGGCGTGGTTGTCGGGTCGTTCAGAGAAAACGCTGTTGCCGTTTGCTGACTTCGCCAGGATGGGCGAATGCGAGCGTCTCCAGTGGGCTGTCCTTGTGCAAATATGTCGTTATATAGCGCGTCGAGCTCCGCCTCTAACTGATGGTTTGATGACAGTGAGAGAGAGAGACGGAGAAAGCACTCTTGAAGGCACTAGAGCGTCAGCACCACCTCTGGAATTAGCAGATGAGGGCCTGCCCCACGGCACTACGTAACGCCCGCTTAGCGGGGCGGGGCTAGACGGGTTTAGTAGCGCTACGTAATATCTGTGAAATGACGCGCCGTAAATAGCCCTTGAGGGGAAAGAGGCGTGGCTTATGGTGTGCGTTAGGAATTCCCGGAATACCGAAAAACGAGCTTGGAGTACTGTAATCACGCTTTAACTGCCACCGTAGCAGTAACAGCGTACTGTAGTGGACAGCAGCGTACAAGCGCGTAAATTGGCGTACCGTAATCCTTGTGGCCTATCGTAGCTATTACCGTTCGCATTGTAACCTAAGCAAACGCCTTAAGCCTAGGGTGAGCTCAGTGCGTACAGTGGCGTGTTTGAATACTGCCGCGGCAGTAGTGCCAAGTACCGTACGGTAGCGTACAGTAGCCGAGAGTTTAGCAAATTGAAAGGCACTATAGTTTCGCCTTTGTGTTGTGGCGTACAGTAACTACGCAAGTTTCCAACTTACGTCTGTCGGAGTCGGTAGCTCTTTCGGGAGCGGAGAGACCGGATTTGAGCACGAGGGCAGGGAGCTGTCGGTGTAGCACTTCTGAAAATATGAATTTTGAAGGGAATCTCAAAACCGAGACCTGAACCTCAGGTAAGTTGAGCATGAGCACTGACCCCCGCTTGAGCCCAAACGAGAATACAATCATCCAACATACCTCTTGCTCCAGCGACGACAAGCAATCAGCGGTCGAAGCAGCACCGGCGTAAAAGTCCTCAAAGTAGCTCTTGCTCAGCTCCTCGTATCGGGCCGTCTCCTCAGCCGAGAGGCGCTGAAAAACGTCTCCAGTTTGTGTTTATAAACTTGTGGAAAAGCAGCTGGGCTCCTTTAGGGCTGTCTGGCTAGGCTGTCAAACCCTTTCTCAGGATCGCTTCCAAAATGCTCGTGCTCACATTCGTCTGCTATTTCTTAATTGCTACAGTATTGGCTGAATTTCGGGACACCGTCGTTCCGGCGGGTTTGCAGCAAACGTATAAGGGTATTCCGGGGAATAGGGCCGAGAATTTGGACAATAATATTCGGCTGCTGGCAGTGTTGGCGTTGCAGCAGAATGTGAGTTAAGACAGCAGAAAGAGAGAGAGAGAGAGAGGGAGAGAGAGAGACGAGCGAGAGAGAGAAGAGAGAAATGAAGTGCTAGGAGGAGAGGGCCGAAGAGAGAGAGAGTGCGTGAGTGGTGAAAGAGCGTGAGAGAAAGAAATAGGTGGGAGAACGGGGAGACCAGGGAGAGAGAAGAGATAAAGAGAGAGAGAGAGAGAGAGGCAGGGAGCGAGAAAGAGCGATATATCTAATTTCTCAGGGTTTCCACCTCTGCGGCCAACACTGGTATCCGGCTCTGCCAAATGGACCTCCGCAGATTTGCCAGCCGAGAACTACTGCCCCTCCATGAGCGGCCACCTGGTCAACATCATCGACCGTGCCGAGAATGACTTTGTCCACCAAATACGAAAGAGTACTATTGACACCCCAATGATGATGCCCTTTAGAAAACGACATCTGGATCGGTCTGAACAAACTGCGAACGACACGCCACAGGTTTACAGAGTGGAGCGACGGGCAGTCAGCCGATTACATCAACTGGGACTCGACGCAACCGAACGAGCCGAAGGTGGGTGGTCAAGTGGTAAATGGCTAGCTTTCCAGGAATTTGACCCGGGTTCGGAGCCGAGGAGATGATATTTTACCTTTTTGCGCATTTTTCGATTTTTCTGAGTTATAACTTCCTTCAAGAGGCTTTTAAAAGGATCATCAAGGAAAAATAGCCGCAATGAATTTTTAGAATTTTAAAAATATGCTTTTTTGAGGTTAAAAAGCTCAAAAATCACTTTAAAGGGGCTATGAAGGCATTAGAAGTTTGCTATAAAATCGAAATTTTGGGTTGGCTGAGGTTTAAGTCCTGCTTAGGCTTAAACCAAGCATGAGCTCCATCTAGATTTTTCTTGCCTTTTTTCGCTTCTCCTGGATCCGCCAAATTCCGCTACGCGCCTATAATCAGCTCAAAAAAACGCCGCCGAGATTATAAGACCAAAAATATCAGCCGGCCGGGCTGCACGCGTGGTCCAAGGGTCGCGTGGAGACTCGAAGGCACCCCCAGTCCATAGGTTGTACCGCAGAAATTTGGTGATAAGCCCCCGAAATTGCTATCTTCGGCCCGGAGTACAAAGGCCTATGTGTGTAGGTGGGATCAGGGAAAGACGCTATGACGTGGGGGTGGGTTCTGAGGTGGGAATTTGGTCTTTGCGGGGCGAGTACTTGCCTTCAATGGTCTTTTAAAGTGTTGGAGAGAGGAATTAACGAAAGGCTAGCCCAATTTGCATCACCATCGGAAAGTTTTAGGAAAAGAGGTAAGGTAAGCCTAAAATCTCTCGTCTCGTTTCTCGTCTGTCGCTCTCTCTCGCTCTCCCTCTCCCCCACTCTCACTCTCGCTCTATATCTTTTTCTCTCGCTTTCTCTCGCTTCCCCATGTTTTTTTTCTCTATTGTTCTCTCGCTCTCTCTCTCTCGCTCTCCCTCTCTCCATCTCTCTATCTCTCTATTTATTTATCTCGCTCTCGCTCTCTGACCCACTCTCTCTCTCACTCTCCAACACCATCCCTTTAAAATGACGACATCCCATCTCCTAGGACCACCGGGAAATGTTATTTTCTTCTAGAAGCGAGGGGCACGCGTCTCTGCACATTGACGCAGTCACCAGGGGATCAGCCGGGGGATCAGATGCCCTGGTTACCGTATCCCCCTTCAAGTGGGAGCACGAGCCCCGCAATTCCGCTAGCCACCACCACACCGCGTCGGCGAGGGGGGGCTGTAGCCGGCGCTGACATTAAGTGTGTGGGCGAGCCGCACGCAAAATAGAATGGCATCTTCTATTTATGTAAAAAGCGCTTCCCGGTGCTTTGGAGGCGTCAGCCACGGCTTATGACGGTTGGGGGATGCTGGGGGCGCTATTTGGAAAATGGGGGAGCTTGTTTTCTGAAAAAACCCTAGGATATCGGGCTAACTTGTTCATGAGAATGAACTTGAGCATGAGCCCGTGCCCGAGCTTAAGCCTAAACCTAAGTCTAAGGAACTTACAACCTAAGCCGAAGCCTAAGCCTAAGCCTGAGCCTGAGCCTAAGCCAAGCATGAGCAGGAGCCTAAGCCTAAGCCTAAGCCTAAGCCTAAGCTCAACCTAAATCTAAGCCTAAGCCTAAAAATTATCATTTTTCGACCTAGGTGGACTGCGTGTACATGGCGTACAGCCAGGAGCAGCCGGGCACCTGGTTCGACTACGGCTGCTGGGAGCACCGGCAGCAGTATTTCGTATGCAAACTGCCGACGCCTTGAAGGAGTTCAATGTCCTTTCCGCAGATTCACATTTTATGTCAATAAACAAAAGCTCAACCTATCCAATTTGTAAAATGCGGTTGTTTTTGTATAATATTATGCCCAAAATAATATACCGTAACGCCTCAAAAAAACACATAGACTACCGTACCTGGGTGATGCTCTTGTGGGTGAGGGCGGCGAGGTCGGACTCCTCTTGGCGCTCCAATACTTGGCGCTTCTCGGAGACGCCGCTTAGGTCACTGCGCCACAGCACGTCGATCAGTTCGATCTCCTGGAAAAATGGGGTAAATTTTTCATTTTTTGATTTTATACCTAAAGGCATCGCAAAGGTACCTTAAAGGGCCCTTAAAGGTATCGTATCTATGGGTGTCTTGGGGTATTAACAAGGTCGTGCCTTAAAACATTAGTTATTCCAGGATTCTAATGGTACCTTAAGCCATTTAACAATATGTTTATACCCACAGTTGTCCCGAAAATCAATGACAAACCCTGAGTCTCATGGTAATTCTGCGTTTATAGGACGGTCGCGTAATAACTAGTATCTGCTAGTAATAGACTGACCCAATCTAGGTCTTTAGAACTCCGAATCACCCCCGAAAACCCGACAAGCCCCACCCCCCAGGAAGCGTGGGGTAAATTAAGAAAATTGTTTTTCGGATGTGCTACTTGGGGGCAAACAGCAGATTTAGCGGTCCCGATTCGGGCCGCCACCCACACGCCGAAAAGCCGTGGAGTCTTACTTGATCCAGACTTATCTGGGAGCAGGATATCTTGAGACTTATGGGAGGGTGGGGGTGGGAATTATAAGGGCGGATGGGTCGGCTGATTCGGGATTTGTAGCTCTCGAAGGGCCATTAGAATTAGGAGATGGATCGAGTTGGGATTCGGGTCGAATCCCTTGTGGATTTGAGGTGGATTTGGCATGGATTGAGACCCGAATCTGGGCTATATTTTCCAAATAATAATATTGGAATTTAATGCTGATTAGGCCAGAGATTTTTGGATTACGGATCTGTTTTTGAGTTATCTACAGGGTGAGGCATATATATCGCTACACCTCTAGCACGCACAAATTGGTCTGCCGGCGGAAAACTGATTATATTTTCGGGGTAGTCGATGTTTCCCATCAAAGAACTAGTGTCTCTTTATGCAGGAAATAAATGTAAATGGTTGAAAATTGTTTTGATTTGGGTTTAGCTTACAAGGAAGTTCAGCACTTTTCTCGAAAAAGTGGCGTGTTGGCACGCTGCTCCTAGAACCCCGTATATTGGTAATTCTGCTGCAGTTTTTTTGTATTCTGGTTCAATCGGGTCTTATTTATGTTTTCCAAAAAGTTTTTAGTCGGAAACTAGCGAGGGAATTTTACTACATTCAAAGAAGGAGTGATTACCCACCCCTCCCCGCCCTTTGGTTGGCCACTAAAAATTCATCAGAAAATCTAAGCCACCTGAATATTTGGATTCTAGCTGTTTTTTGCATTTTAGGCATCCGATACGAGCAATTCCCAATAATATAACCAAGAAATTGAACGAGTACAGGTCAAAAAATGTATTTTTATGTTTTTTTACTATGCTTTTTGTAACCAGCTGAGACAAACTTTTAACTTTCTACCGAATGAAAAGAAATAAGTTGGTCTCATTGTCTTTAGTTAAATTCTAAGTAGTACAAATGTTTTTAGGGGTCATTCGGGTCCAAATCAATGTTTCCGAACCATACCAAAATCGGCCGCCAAGGGGTTCCGTGCCAGACTCACCTAACGACGCCCAGTTTTTGCTTCAGAACAAGTGTTTATAGGGTTGTTGCATTATAAAATTTTAAGAGTATCGAAAGGACCCATGTGGCTATATCACAGCAAAATATCGAAGCCCGGCTCGCTTTAATAATTTTTTGGGGGCCTGAGAGGGTGTAGCGATATATATGCCTCACCCTGTAAAGACTGAATGAAATGATATTTGGATGCAAAATCGAATTTTTAACGGGAAAAATGGCTCTTTTAAAGCAGACAATAATAGAAAAAATTAGAAGGCAAATAGCAAAATTCATTGGGGAAATCAGAACTCAAAAAAATCCATGGTGATGAGGCAAGCTAGCAGAGATTTTTGGGGAGGCTAGACGAGGATCCGATCGTTTTTTGCTCATTTTTGGCACGACAGCCAGCAGAGAACGTTGAGGAAGTTTAGGCTTACAAAAAAACGAGCAATTTCGAGTGTAACCTAGCAGAGACCGTTGGGGAAAATCGGCATTTTCCATTTTTAAGATAGATGAGCTTTTAGCATCAGTAGACATTTTGAGCCTGACCTAGCAGGAAACGTTGAGGAGCAAGTGATTTTTCTAATTGTAAGGGTCAGCTAGCAGAGAACTTTGCGGAAAGTCAAAAACGAACTAAAAAACAAGACCAAACTCTTCTTGCCGTTATCAGGAAAAGCCGGAGGAGGTCCACGAATTTCGGAGGGTGCAGAAAAACCGCAAGAACTATTGGGTGGGTGTGGTGTGGTGGAGATAAGGAGAGAGGGAGAGAGAGAGAGAGAGAGAGAGCCCAGAGCGAGAGAGAGAGTGAGAGTGCCTCTGAAGCCTGAAAAATCGGGTGATACCTCCCTTAGAAATTATCGAAACACGGCTTGCCCCCCACGCCCGAACAGTTGACATCACCTTTGAAGCTCTTATCTTAGAATTCCGGGGAAACACCTCCCACTCGTCACCTCTTCCCAAAAAAAAACATTAGCTACGCACACGTTTATCGTGGGGCGGAGGTCAGATGAGTCAAGGAGACTTTGAAGAGTGAAGACTGCAACGCTTGCGGACGACGGGCTACGCCGAATGACTAATGACACTTGGGGGGGGGGGGGTACGTATTTTGATGAGTAACCTTTCATAAAACGCTCATTTTCATGGGCTGATATTTTGCGGGTGATAATGAAGAAAGGGAGAGAGAGAGAGAGAGAGAGAGAGAGAGAGAGATGGATTGGTCCGGGTTATGCAAATATAGCTAACAAAGCGGGTTTTTTTTTGGTAAATTTGCAGCTAAAAAAGCGTTGAATTTTTCTACGCAATTTTTAGTGATTTTAGTCTGTAATTTAGCAAAATATAAAGAAATCTCCCTATTAAAAATTAGAAATGTGGCGAGATATTCCGAAAATGTGAATTTAAATGTGCTATTTTTGTTTTTTTCTTATTACTTATTGACGAGTAGAACTGAATATTGAAAACCTTGGCGCTTTAGCTACTTTATTACTACAGTACCCCAGAATCCACGGCATAAAAATCGTAATAAGCACAAAACCCGGTAAAAAAACCAAAGCAATTTCGAGATCCATCCAGAAGTTCAGTGATTTCTCGTTTATATAACAATCCTGTTTTCGTAATCAACTTAAAGGACCATTGAAGACAACCGGTCTAATGGCCCTAAGATTACTACGGCAAATATCATGAGTGCCCGCTTAGCCCCCAGCTAAACCAGTTGTTGTCCGGATTTCTGGCATTTCCAGACGGACTTTAACATATCGGCTTAAAGACTATTGCGATTTGAATGGAGGCGAGAATTGTTTCGAAATACTGAGTGTTTTAAAGGGACGGTGAAGGCAGAAGATGGGAAACTCGAGAAAAAATGGTCGAAAAATCGCAAAATGAGTTTGGCAACTGTCAGCGTCCTTATAGCTTATGGATTTTTGGCTTCCAAGTTCCTTAATTCGGAACGCTATTATATTTAACAAAAATAAAATAACTATAGATTAAAATTTAAAGGAAAATCAAAAACGCGAAAATTGGAACAAATTGGGTTTTGGTGAATATACCAACAACATACAAAAATCGAAGCCCTATGGATTTTTGCCTTCCATGTACCTTTAAAAGAATTTTTGTGACAAATTGTACAAAGACTACAGACAAAAAGACTACGAAAAATTTTTAAAGGAACGATGAAGGCATAAACGGACGGAACTAAAAAGGAAGGCGAAAAGTTGAGTGAGATTTGTTTTGGCAGCTCGCCAGGGATCGATATGCTATGGATTTTTTGCCTTGAAAAGACTTTTAGCTCGCCCGCAACCCATGGAATTTTAAAAAGCTAAAAAAATCGATCCAGAACCTCCTTAAAGGGCTGCCGACGGCATGTGTCGATCCCCCCATCAACAAATTGGCAAGTAGCCAACAGGGCAGAGAGCGCGCCCTGGGGAGAGGCGCAGAGACAATTTCTTTCCAGCGCGTAACCGATTGACTATGCCGTCGGCATCCCTTTAATCGAATCTTTCACCCACCGTATACCGGGCGGGCCGTAGATTCAGCATGCTAATGGCAAACGGGTGTATTTAGTTGTGTAGCGATTCTCAGGGCAAAATGATAGCGCTGTCCTCAATTTCCAGAGCTCTATATAGGGGGCCAGCCCCGGACCCAACGTAATTTCTAGTGATAAGCACCCAGCACGTCAACTTCTTGGCAGGGGTCAGTTTCGCGGCGACTCTGTGTTGCATCGTGCTGATAGCAATTAGAGGGAGAGAGAGAGAGAGACACAGAGAGAGAGAGAGAGAGAGAGAGAGAGAGAGAGAGAGAGAGTGTGAAGCGTGAATTTTTGCGATAAATCCTCCGGCCGACCCCTCGTCACTTTAGCATGGTCTTCTGAGGGTGGGGCACCACACGTCAATCTGGAGGTGTGGGTTGGTGGTGAAATTAAAAGCGTTTTTTCGGGTTTTAAAGGGGCTACGAGGCCTAGGTGTCGACCCCTTGGATCGGCTAGGTCTAGACAAATACCTGGTGGTACCGTCTAGGCCCTGGGTCGCTGTCGAGACGTAGTCGAAGCAAGGCGAGATTTTTGCACTTCGAGCCCGCGCAAAGCTGGCTAGCAGAGATTGTTTGGGATCGGTGATGCTTTAAAGGGGCTACGAAATGCCAAAAATTGAGTGACGACCTGAAAATCGGTGCCCTGTACGTCGGAGGCCTCTGTACACCCAGGGGCCCGGGCAGCTCGCAAATTTGAAATTGCCTGTTGTCACCTCGAAATCACGTTCTCGGCTGTTTCTGGGCCAAATTTGATGCTTAAAACACCAAAACTATTGAAAATTCAGTGAGGATTTCAAAAATGGGCTCAGAATGTGCGAATTATAGTGTTTTCACAAAGAAACCGGACAAAAGCAAATTCGCGCTAAAATCGAAAGAGTGAGGGCTCTCGTCCCGCTGCGCCCGCTGGCAATTTGCCAGAAATCAAAGAGAACACCTAAAAGGACTTTGATTTGGCAGTTCGGAGCCCCTTTAAAGGGCAGGGGACACCTGGTTGCGGCCTGAAATCCAAAGCTCTAAAAAACTATAATGCCTTCCAAATAAAATTCCAAATAAACTCGAAGATACCCTTTGAAATCAAGCGGTATATCATAGCAAAAATTCTACAGCAAAAATCAAGCACCCCCGAAAAAAGGCGCGAAAAATGAAGTCTTTTCAAGGAGGACCTATTTCCGAGATGAACTATCTGGGCCTGGGGGATCTTGGCCCCCGGGCCGACGTAGCGAAAAGCCCG